CTCGGAAACCCAAGGAGGGGTCGCTATGAGTCGGGTTTGACTCGACGGCACATAACAACAACAACAACAACAATAAATCAAAGGGCAGTATCAAGAAAATGAAAAGACAACTTACAGTATGAGAAAAAAGCATTTGAATAGAAGTTATTAATTTTGGTGAAGTCCAGTAGCATTTTAGATATAAGTGATACATAGTTCATACTAAAAGTAATGAGTACATTACCATAGAGACCCCTCTAGACTATTTCTAAAATAAAAGCACACTTAGTTGGTTATTAGAGTTCAGGTGATTCAAAGCTTTCAGTTTTATAAGGTAGGCAACAGAGGGACAGCTCAAGGTCAGTCATAGAAAGTAGACTTTCTGCACCTGGCTCTAGCACCTGTTTTACTATGAGTCCTCCCATATACTGAGAGGCATAAATTTAAAGAGTGAGAGATTGAGAGAGACAGTGAGGAAGAGGTACTGAACTCTGTTTAGAGATATGGGGTGCACTTATGGAAGAAACAGGTGTAGGCTCTGTAAATTTCAGGTATTGCCTCCATCTCACCCCCCACACAGTCCCATCCCTCTGCTGCAGTGGGTCTCAGAGGCAACTGGCCAGTGGAGGGGCATTATCCCTTAGTGTATCGCCCCCAGTTGGGGTAATGCTGGAAGGAAGTGAATAGCATCTCTCCATCAACATATCTATGGTTGTGTGCACCCCCTTGGAACACAGAGGTAGAGTCTGGGATTGGAGATAGATCAAGGGTTTTCTTAACCTTTCCATGACTTTTCCTTGGCATTGCCTCACACCTCTGCCTAGGCACACAGATACATAGATGTGCCCACTGGACTAAGGTAGATTGAATTGAGCACCTGTAGACTTGTTGGGAAAGGCAGACCACATCCACAACCTCCTTGCCTTCTCTGGCTGGCCCTCTTGTGTGCCCTGTAGTTCAGACAGTGGCTATGAATAACTGAAACTGTGGGAGATGTCCTGGCTACATGCCAGCTGACAGCAAAAGGGCAGGATGGACACCATTGTCCCTGGAACACAGCAGGCACCAGATGACTCAAGACAATCAACTACCTGTGTAGTACCAGCCTCCCTCCTCCACGTCTTCCCCACCCCTTGTGCTCCAGGAAGCTCCCTGAAGGTCTAATGGCTCACCTCTGACCCTTCAGGGTCCTATGTGCTTAGTTCAGCCTCCAGGGACTTGTATGAAGGTCTCCTTCCTCGGGGAGGAAGCCTCTAGAGGAGCACCAGATGTTTCCATACTCATAGGCCTCCCTGGGATTATCAGAAATATTAACA